AGTTGAATCATCATAAATTGGACAGGTCTGAATGCTCTTTAGTAGGTAGATGCTGGCCCTATGATCCTATTTATGCACTGAATTTGTACATTTTGTTTTCCTCACAAAATAAAATGATAATCTTCAGGAAAATTCAAGCTAAATTAACAGATATTCTGAATCACATGGATCTAAACTCATGATGAGAAGCTGTACTGCTGAAAAGCTGAGAAGCAGTGTGTGTATATCCTAGATCAACACAACACTGACTAGCTCCAAAGACAGAGCCAAGGCTGAAGAAACATCACTAATGTCCGCAACTGTGGAGCTAAAATCCTTCCCCATTGTCAATCACCCCACACAGCTTCACATGTACACTGTGAAGTGGATGTAGACTCAAGCATCTATGCACTGGAAGCTTGGTCCTCAAGGTAGTGCTAATGAGAGTGTTATGGTTTGGTTCTGCATGTGTCCCCCCAAAGCCTCATGCAGTCATGGGGCGGGCTTCTAGAGTTTATGATTGATTCATGGTCCAATGCTGGGATAATGGGTGTGAGTGCTACACCCACCCTGGAGTGGATAGTTTGCATCCAGTGTAAGGGAGAGAAAGAAGCTGCTTGCCACCGCTCCTCCCTTTTGCTCCTGTTGCTTTTGCTACCTTCTGCCACCATGAACTGTTGTCCTCTGCCATGTGCCATTCTGCCTTGGAGCCAGCTGAGAATGGACTGAAACCTCCACCAACTATGAGCTAAAGAAACCTTTCCTTCCTTAATTTTGGGTGTCAGGTATTTTGTCTCAGCAACGAGAGAAATGTAACCAAGACAAGGAGGCAATGGGACCTTTAAAAAGCAGGACCTGGGGGCTGGGGATTTAGCTCAGTGGCACAGCGCTTGCCTAGCAAGCGCGACATCATGAGTTTGATTCTCGGTACCGGAAAAAAATAAAAATAAAAAAAAACTTTAAAAAGTGGGTCCCAATGAGAGGTCCTCAGGTCTTGCTGGGGCCACTGGCTTTGGAAAGCTTAAAATGATTCTTGTGAGACTGCTTGGTAATTCTCTAAAGAAGATTATCATAAAAAGAGCCAGCCTGACCTCACCACCCCTGGCTTCATATTCCAGATGTTATTCTTCCTCACTTATATATTCTTCCCTCTGACATGAGGCCCTCACTAGAGCCTGCACTAGGCTGATTGGACTTTCTTCCTCCAAAACTGAGTAAATAAATTTCTCTACTTCATAAAGTTAGTCTGTGTATTTCATCACAATTATGAAAAGCTATACTAGTGAATTTTTTAAAATCCTATAAATAAAATTATAAAATTCTGCACAATATATCTGACAATCATCAAAATTACTTTTTATTCACTTACTACATGCTGCTAATAGAAACCATTTTTAAATTCGTGTAAACCTATTCTTCTCTCAAAAAAAAGATGTGAGAAAGTGAAGCATAGATAAAATGCTATGATCTAGACCTGAGCAGAATCCATCCCAAATACTGGTGGTAGAATGAAGTGGCCATACAAATCTTCAAATATGAGAATTATGTAAAACTAAAATTTTAAAAATGTTTAAGGACTCCATGAGACATGCAAAAGTTCATAGAAGTCAGAAGAAATTTTAACTTCAGAAAACAGTAAATAGGTAATAGGTAAACAGGTAAAACCTGAGAGTTTCCAGCTTATGATCCATAGAATTTAATTCTAATCCCATGGCTACAAAAAAAATATTGGTTGGGAAAACAATAGCCTGACCAGCTAAGTGCATCAAATATTAGAAATCAGGACTTGAAAAGTAGCAGAAATCCAACAAGGAACCACATGAGAACCGCAGAATAAATGAGACCCAAATTCAGAGCATAAAATCCTGAAATCCCTGGTTTATAGCTAGTCTGCTACACATGAATGAAGAAGACCTCAAAGGACCCAGCATAAAAAGAAGTCAGAGACCAGAGAGATCTCCACTCTTGAAAGATGGAATTATACAGAATCAATTGGTGGGTTTGGCACCTATCTGAACCAAAGCTATTGCTCAGTTAAGGGAGTTCAAGTGACAGAAAGCTGAAGCATAACTGTTTGAAGAATCAGAGTACAGAGCCCAAAACCAGCAAAGCTAAGAAACCCAGGGAGAAGATAAGCCACATCAGTGTCTGAAGTTTTGTTTGGCTATCAGTTTTGCAGGCTTCTGCAGAGCCAGGTGAAAGAAGCAACCACAAGAAACCATACAAATAAAAATCAGCAGCCACAAGTCACAAAGGAGATAAAATTTGCAATTTGAGCTAAGTAAGTTAAATGCTTACTAGAAAATAAATAAATAAATAAATAATGCCTACTAGAACAAAATCCAAAAATTCTCAGAAAATACAAAGCAATTTTGTTCCTGCAATATATTTGCAATGACTAATCACCCAAACTACTAAGCATGCAAAAAACTGGAAAATATAATCCATACTCTGTGTATTCAATTTAACTGACTTAAAATAGACACAAGTAGATAATGGCTTCAAATCACTTTAAAAATACATGCAAACAATTAAAATTATTAAATAAAAAGATGTGGCTAAGCAATAAATGGATATGAAATCTCAAAAAAACCCTGAAAACTATAAACAGTAATTGAAATTCTAGAACTGAAATGTAAAATAACCAAATTTCTTGCTGGGCCAAGCAACAGATAATGTTTTAGCACTGCCAAAGAGCATTGCATTATAGATGGCAGATGAAACTGATATAGATTTATTGAAATTAATTAATCACAGTGTAGGTAAAAATTTAAAGAAAAATAAATTCTGGGCCCTGAAAAAGAATACAAAGTACCTCAATATACATGTGACTAGACTCCGAAAGAAAGAAAAGGGTAAATAGCATAAAAAGTATTTGATGAAACAATGGCCCCAACTCTTTAAATTTGGTAGAAAACATTAATTTATATATTCAAGAAATTCAACAAATCCCAAAAGAAGAAAAACAGGGGGCTGGGGATTTAGCTCAGGGGCACAGCACCTGCCCAGCCAAAAGAAGAAAAACAAAAAGAAAAATTATTACTGGACTGCTATGGTTTAAATGTGTCCTCTAAAATGTTCACATTGAAATTTACTCCTCATTGCCGTGTTATTAAGCCATGGTGCTTTGTAGCAAAGATGTTAAGTCATACGACTCTGAATTCATGAGTAGATCAGTGTGGGCACCTTAATCTTCGCTTTCTATGCCTCCAGAACACTAAGAAATAAATTTCTGTTGTTTATAAATTACCTAGTCTGAGGTGTTTTGTCATAGCACTGCCAGTGAACTAAGGTATAGACACATCACCATCAACTGCAAAAAATAATAAGGCAAAGTTAAAGGGGAAATTTTGAAAGCATTCAAAGGAAAATGCCATATCCCATAGAGTGTATGAGGAAACAAAAATCACAGTAACAGTTGAATTCCCACCAAACTTATGAAAGCCAAAAGCTGGAGCAACATATTCAAAGAGCTGAAGAAAAAGAACCTACTGCTAATAATTTAATAATTTTTATTCAGATAAACTACCCTTCAGATATTAAATTGAAATAAAATAAAAACCTATGAAAAGCACAAGGCAGTCACAATCTCTGCTTCATCTCCAGTGAACTAGAAACCCTTCGCCTCACTACATCCAGAAGAGCGACAAGACCAGGCAAGGCAAAACACAAGCTCTTCCTGCCCTGCACCTGCTGTCCTCACACATCAAGCTGGAAGATGCTAACAGTTTTTTGTAGTATTAGCAGGATATCTGTGCTATAAGTGATACTCTTACAGATTGAAAATCAGTTATTTGGTAGAAGAATGATCATCGATGAGTCTCCCAGGAAGGAGGAAGTACAGAAAAATTCTCTTCTATTGTAATTATTCTCCAGGTCCATCGGTCTCTATCTAAAATTAACACTGGCCTCAGGGTGGAGCTCAGAGGTACAGCACTTGCTCAGAATATATGATGCCCTAGATTCACCCACTAGCAATCAAAAAAATAAAATAAAAATTTAACTAAATTAACTAAAACCATGACTACTTGAAAAAGTGAAGTGCTGCATCTGAACCCATGGGCCAGTCAGTGACTATCATATGGGAAGCTGTGGAAAGTCCTACCTGCCGAAGTCCCCATCACTGACCTTGACAGATATTTAACTAACAAACAGAAAAGTTGTTCAGGTGGAAAACTGGTCAGATCTCCCTGATATGACAGAAAAAGTGGGAAGATTTATTCTATCCTGGACAGGCAGACCATGTGTACAATGTCAACAAGGCTCAAAATCAAAATCAGCCTTTTTATGACCCCAGAAAAACATTCAACTCCAATAATAGCACATTGATGCTGGTTTTCTGAGAAAATTAATTTTTACTAAAATTAAGAATTTTGTAAGAATCAAGCAGTGATGCTGGGAACAGCTGGATCAGTGATGCTGACAGCCTTTGAAAGTTGAAGAAACTATTAAAGAAAACATTTTGAAAGAAGAAACCCACCCTCCAGCAAACGGTACTTGTCCCACACTTATACCATGTCGCTGCCTCTCAAAATAAGTCACAGTCGCTTACCCTAACCTTGTTATCATGGCCGGACTTCCCTTCTTCTGAGGTAATGTCTGTAAATCCTGGCATTCAGTGTGTTTTCTGCTCCACATGTCACCTATTAGTAATGGTATTTTTCCTGAAAGCTAATTGGTAATGTTAAAGAAAAGAAATGGAAAACCATCATACTTCCAAAGTCACTGTATACCATTAACTGTAACAAGTATTTCAGAGCGGACACAGCACTGCCTGGGAGTCAAACAGACGCACTTTTCAGACTGGTTGCCAACGAGATGAGAAATGGAGTGCAAATGAAATCCATACCTTGGGTTTCTTTGCACAACGGCTTACTTAGTGATACTTCCTATGCCAGAAGATTCTCCCCCTGTAATACTCATGCTAAGGGGATGGTCTGAGACAGGCAGACATTAAGAGTCCTCATTTCCCATCAAGAGCCTGAAAGAGTGATAGCTCAAGGCTGCAACATGCCCCTCACCTTTCAATTTTGTTGTGTAAAATCCAACAGCTGCTCCACTTTTCCACAGAATTTTAGCTTGCTCCTTCACAGAGTGAGGTAAAAAAAACATGTCATCCTCATCCAACTTTCTCTCCAATCTTCCAAAAATAATGACATTCAGAATGAAAAGCACAATTCTTTCCCCAAAGGACTGAACCTTTGAAGAGGAAGAAAAAACAATAGTCAAGTTAGACCAGAGAGGAAAATCAGACATGATAAATTTTGCACTTGGAATTGACCCACAAATGGGGCCCAGGTATATGTACCACTGCTGTAGGGTTGTTTTTGTGCTCAGGAACCAGAACATAAATCACTGCATCTCACAGACATTTTCACACCACTGACCGATCACAACAGTGAGGCCTCTAGGAGCTGGTGACAAAGCCTGCAGAGTTCCTGAGTCTGCAAGGACAAAGATGTGGAATTAAGTTGACAAAGCACAATTAATCACAAGCTAATGAAACAGGAAGTTATCTTAAGGGGAGTTGGGGTGAGCCATTTCAGCAGATTTGCTGAATATGTCCTGAAATAAACCCAATCTGCCATTTTTAACAACAGCAATATCTTGGCCCCAGAATTCTGGTCCTCAGAGAAGGAAAAATAATTGGAGGGATCAATTGCTACATCAAAAGCAACTTATTTTTGATAGCTTGTGACAGATTACAAACATAAATTGGAGTCCCAGTGTAAGGGAATTACTGAGACTCAAGGACCACCACATTCTAGGCTGCAAAATAGAACTGTCTTGCCCAGAGCAAAGTCATCATAAATAAAGAAACTGAATTGTGCTCAAACTCAAGATCACAGTGTTGGAAGAATTCTCCTTCACAAGTCAAAATAACTTCATGTTCATGTCTGTTAAAATTCTCTTCACTTTTTATAGCACACAAATTCCAAATACATGGCCAGAATCAGGGCCTCCCATGGCTCTGCTCACTACATGGCTATCCTTGGATGTTGTTCATAAAGTTTCCATCACTGTGACACTGGACCTCACAAAGGTTCTAGCACTTTCCAATAGAACCAGAGGCTGGTGACCAAGCCTTTAATACACAAGCCCTTTGGAGGATGTTCCAGATCCAAACTAGAGCAATGTGGTCGCAGAATCCTCCTAAATACATCCCTCCAAATAACCATCTGAGAAAAAATCAATTTAAAAGAGGAAAGGTTTATTTTGGCTTATGGTTTCAGAGGTTTCAGTCCATAGTAAGGGAGGGGATCTGTTGCTTTGGGCCCGTGTCAGCTCACTCATCATGGCCAAAGCACATGGTAGAGGAAGTTTGTTCACCTCATCACACCCAGGAAGTAGAAAGGCAAGAAAGGCCTGGGGTCTCAAGCTTCCCTTCAATATCCCTGATGGCCTAACTTCCTCCCACTCGGTCTCACAAAGGTTCTACCACTTCCAGAAAGAATCAGAGGCTAGTGACCAAGTCTTTAACACACAGATCCTTTGGAGGGCATTTCAGATCCAAACTAAATGCATAATCCTCCTAAATGCATCCCTCCGAACAGCCACAAGTAGTTACTAAAATGTGACACACTAGATACAGCCAATCACCTATTTGAGCAGTAGCAGTATTGTTATGTCAAATTTTACTCCTACAACACTGAGTTGTGACACATAGCCTGCGTGGTGTGAGGTGTGTGTGTGTGTGTGTGTCTGTGCATGACCGCCACATCAGTCACACCATTAACTGGGCTATAGCTTCTACCCACACGGTATTATTCGATTCTCAACACCCACTGGGGACACCTTGGTTTACAGATGAAGAAATTGAAGCTCAAAGGGGGCAAGTGATTACATTTATTGATTTTTCCTGCCTCCTCCCAAGGAGGACTTGAAACAGCTGGGCAAAGGCTCTGTCAGAAGCAGGTGGAGAACAACATGCAGGGCTTCTGAAGCCCACCCCAGCAAACTCAAGAGCAACCAGCAACTGATTCCCTTGTACATCCTTTTCCATTAGAACTGGGACTTATTTTAATGCAAATAGTAATGCTTGATTTCACATTTAATATTTGACCCCTGAACTGTCATCACCACCATCATCATCATCATTTTATAGTTGTGGGATCTTGGCCTGGGTTTGCTGGGAGACATTCAGCCACCCACATTCTTTGAACCCCAGTTTCATCAAGTGATAGTTAAAGGCTCTCACTCACGTGACCTCTAAAACTCTTGTCTACATTGCAAACACACTGATTATAAAAATAAGGCAGTTCACATCACCCTAGCAAATGGTACAAAGTGTTCAGCGCCAATAAACTTATTAATTGGCTTAGAATGTAAACTATTTCACCTTCATCTGGAGCCAAATTTTAGACAAGTAAAAGATTTGTGAAAATATAACCAGCTCAGCCTGAGAAGCTGACACATTTTGTATCTCTGACAGTGGCAGCCAAAGCCAGCTCAGACTTTAAGAATAAAGCAAATCTCAAAACCTGATCAGTGTAATGTGGGAGGTTCTATTTTTCAACTTATAAAACCAAAAGGTTCAGAGGGAAGCCAGGAGAGAAAATCAAATTGCATCTGGCAGAAGGGAAATATCCAATCAAAAACTGGCAACAGAAAAAGGAGAAAAAGAAAATGCACTTAATTTATCCAATTTCATTACAGGGAGGAAAATGTGTGACATGTGATTTTGACTTCGAAACATTTCTAAAACCATAAAACTTAGATCCAGTTCTAATCCCTCATTAGGATCACTAATTATGTTAACAGAGAGAACATTAAGAAAGGTTGTCTTGGTAATTTATGAAGAATAACTGGCTAAGAAACAAAATGTAATTAAAAGAAAAAAGTAAAGACAAAGTTCTACAAATGAAGAAAGGAAATATCCCTCTGTACAGTGAAGGTAGAATAGATTTTTACAACATGCTTCTTTTGGTGAAAATAATGTTCAAGTCTCTTTTCCTTCACAATTTAAGCCACGTTCACAGAAACTGGGGGAGAGGTGTTTCTCATTTAAACTTAGAAGAGATGACAAATGAAATAATTGAACTCTCTTGTTCTGAAACATTATGTAAAAGGCAAATCAGGTTCTTCCTAGCACTCAGAACAACCAGCCATTAAATAGCCATCTGGTCTACCTGTGACAAAGGAGCTCAGGCAGCAACATATTCAGGTACATTCTGTACTTCTGGGTACATCATGCTCCTTTGTGAATCTCAAGTCACTCTTAATCTTCCTGGGGGGGAAAAATCTTTGCAAAATAACACCTATGGAGTCAGTTAAGACAAGACCTATAAAATACAACCCAAAGAATGGGATAAGATACTTGCAAATCATATAAAAGACTTGCATCTAGAATATATGAAAAATTCTTATAATTCAATAGTAAAAAGTCAAATAATCCAATTTTAAAATGGGTCAAAGATCACAATAGTCATTGTCCCAAAGAGGATATATAAATGGCCAATGAGTGCATGAAAAGATGCTCAACATCCTTGGCTGCCAGAGAAATGCAAATCATAATGCCAATTAGATACCACTTCACACCTATGAGGATGGAGAACACAAAGAAAGACAGACAATAGTAAATGTTGGTGAGACAGTAAAATGGTGCAACTGCTGTGCAAGACATTTGGGTAGGCTCTCAAAATGTGAAATACAGAGTTGTCATATGACTAGCAATTTCATTCCCAGGTATGTAGCAGGAAAACTGGAAACATATGTCCTCAAAAAACTACATGGAACAAACAAAAAACTATACAGAGCCATAAATGATAATAGCTAAAAAGTGCAAACAACTCAAATGTCCATCATATTGTATGCATACAACGGGCTGTTATTCAGCCAAAAAAGTATTGAAACATCAATACATGTTACAGGATGGGTGACCCTTCAAAAATGATGCTGTGTAAAGAAGCTAGTCACAAGAAGCTACACATTATAAGATTTTACTGAAGTGGAACATCCAGAATAGACAACTCCATACCAGAGAAAGTCAGTTAGTGCTTGCCAGGCCTGAGGAAAAAGAAAACTGAGAGGTATCTTCCAATAGGTACAGGGTTCCTTTTGGAGGGATGAAAACATTCTGGAAGTAGTAGTGATGGATATTCAACTTTGTGAATACACGAAAAGTCACTGAATTGTGCCCTTAAAAAAAAAGAATGAAGGTGATGGGATATGAACTACATCTCAATTAAACTGTTGCTTTAAAAATAGAACTGGCCAGATGCCTATAATCCCAGCTACTTGGGAGGCTGAGGCAGAAGGATCACAAGTTTGAGGCGAACCTGGGCAACTTGGCAAGACACTGCCTCAAAAAAAAAATTTATACTTTGTGAGGATGAGGCTGGAGGAAGCGTTTCAGTTCTAGTCCAGCCTGGGCAACTTAGTGACTTAGAAGACTCTTGTCTCAAAATAAAAAATAAAAAAGGGCTGGGGATATAGCTCAACACAAAGGCCCTGGGTTTAATCTCTAGCACCATAAATAAATATATATATATAAAGGATTGGGGATGTAACTCTGTGGTAGTGTGCTTAACTAGCATATACAAGGCCCCAGTGTTAGGATGGGGTGAAATAGAAGTAACAGTTGTTCAGCTGACAGAACAAACTAGATCATAAACCTGTCCAAACGGAACCTGAACAAATGCTGATTTTTCATTTAGTATTTACTGGATCCTGTGAAATGGGCCAAGTAGCACTGCAGAAAACCTTTTCAAGATGGCAGAGAAGCCCCATTTTTATTCCCAGCTAGAAAATTAACAGAAATGCAGCCAAGTCCACACCTTGCCTGGTACCTGCACTCCTCCTTAGCCTCTGCCCCAGCCAATGTTCCGCCAACAGGACTGTGCCGTGACTCCTAACAAGCTGCTGCTGCTGCACCTGCCCTCACCTTCACCATCCCAGATCCCTGTTTTACAGCTGCCCTGTAAAATGGCAAAGCTTCGAAGATGCCAGGCTTGAGCTCAGAGATGTTGTACCCACCTAAACCACTTGCTAGCTGCATGACTCAGCCTCACTTTCTTCATGTGTGAAACAAACATCTTGAAGATTCTGAAATTAGATAAGCCCTGTAAAGAGTCTGAGGTAATGTGTAGCACAGACTCTCATACCAATAAACATTGCCCGTACACACTAGGCAGAACTTTCCCACAGAATAGAGAGATGGTACAGATTAACAAAGCCAACTACTCAGGCAGGAAAAATATCCTCGGAACAGCAGAGTATCTGTTGAGTAGAGGTAGGTGTTACTATTTTCCTTCCTAGCATGGTATTATAGATTAAACACATCTCCACAAAAGATGCTGATGTCCCAGCCCCCAGGACGTCTGAATGTGTCCCTATTTGGTAACAGGTTTTTGTAAGTGGCCAAGCCCAGATATGAGCAGTAGGGTGCTCCCTAAGCCAATATGTCTGGTATGCTTATAAAAAGAGAAGATTTCAACAAAGCCAGACATGTCTACAGGGAGAAAGAACCCTGTGAAGACACATAAAGGATGCCAGCTGAGGCCATCAGAAGCAATACCAAGGGCAACCAGTAGCTGGGAGACAGCCTGGAACACATTCTCACTCCCAGCCCTTCAAAGCAGCCTTGATGAATTCCTCGATTTTGGACTCCAGCCTGCAGAGTCATGAGACGAGGGTCTGCTGTTGAAGCCACCCAGTTTGATGGCAGCCCTGGGAAAGGAACACCCATTAGCAGAGTAGAGCATTTGAAGTCAGCAATAGGGTAACAAGTACAGGGACTTTGAAAACCTGTTTTGAGAATGTTCCCTTCAAATCACATTGCCTCACCTTCATGAGACCTTCTCTTGTGGGGTCAGCAGTTCTTAGCACATCTTCCGTAGACCACCAGGATTCCTTTAAGTAAACAGCCACAACTGAAGAGAAAACCAAGAGAAAAGAATGGTGTGTGCACAGCAAACTGGTCAGTGGGGGCAGATTCAACAGCATGGAGCCACTGACAAGGTGCGGAGGCAGGGCTCTTTGTGAGTAAAGGAGCAAACGTTTTTAGAGTGAAATTTTTAAGAGCGCTGACTAGGACATAAAGTGACCATCTCTCAGGGTTCATCCCAGATGTTTCATAGGTGCATTACTTAGCTTTCTTGCAGCTAACACACAATACCTGTGCTTTACCCACAATTTATTTATTTAGTTAGTTGTTGTTGGTACCAGGAATCAAACTCATGACCTCACGCTTACAAGGCAGGAACTTATGCCGCTGAGTTATACCCCCGGCCCTTTTACCCACGGTTTAAAGGCGGAGAGAATGAATTGAGTCCAGGTCAGCCAGCCTCAAGGCAGGAACATTACGGCAGCACAGCATTATGGAGCAAAGCTGCTTACATCCTGGCAGCCAAGAAGCAGGGCAGAGGAACAGCACCAGAGAGGAATAGGCAAGAGATCATATATGGTACAGTACCAAGATCACACTTCCACAACACACACAGACACACCCAGGAGCACGCTCTACTAATCTTGTGGGTGGTTCTTAATCCACTGAAGTTGACATATCAGGATTATTGGTCATGGTAGGTAGCCCATCTTTGGCTCTAAAACAAGATATATCTTAGCATTGCTGAAAAAAAATATGATATACACAAAGAAAAATGCAAAGGGTAAGAATTACAATTTTTTCATGTTATAATGTTTATCAAAGTTCAGTCATGTGCCGCATCATGGAACTCCCATATTTAGTGAAATCCAGTATTAGGGAATTAAGTGAACCTAATCAGTTCTTGTATATAGAGCATTCCCTAGACACTGAGCTCAGGGCTGCCTTATTTTACATGATTTTCTCCCATTCTTACAATGAAACCATCAGCAGCATTTTTCTGAGGAGGACATTGAAGTTCAGAGTGGTGAAGTAATTTGATGGTAACCAGCTGGAAGGGACAGGAGTGGGCTCCAGTCCTGGGACTCTAAATCCCGTGTGCTGTGCAAGAGACCCAGGATGGGGTCTTCTCTTAGGAATGGTGGACCCCTTGCAGGAGTGGTGGAGGTGTCTGCAGATAAGGAGGCTTTGGGGCTAACACTTATAGGAGCAGAAGAGGAAGGAGCACTCTCCTCCTCCCACTCTGTCTTAGTTACAACCTCACTGTTGGGGCAAAATACCCAATATCCACAAGTTAGAGGAGGAAAGGTTTATTTTAGCTCACCTGTAGAGGGTTCAGCCCACAGTCAGTTGGTTCCAAGGTTGGGTGGCATGACAGAGGGGCATGGCATAGGCAAAACAGTTGATGGAAGGGCAGGCAGAAAGAAGAAGCAGCCTTTCTTTCCCTTTATATTCCATCCAGATTGCAAGATTATTGGTTGGTGCCACTCACCCAGGGTGGGTCTTCTGAGTTCTGTAAATCCATTCAGCTACCACCCAGAGCTATGTTAAACTTAATCAACCAATAGACTAATCCAGTTGTCACATCCATGATCCAGTATCATACACCCACGATCCAGTCACTCCAAAAAAGCCCCACCTGGAAGCACATGAGGCTTTAGGGGATACTTTAGGCATACATCCTAAATCTCAGGCCTATTGGTTGTGCTTCAGAACACCCTGATCAAGTCTGAACCTGAGTCCTGGTGCTCAGAAGTTCAGACTGTGAGTGCAGCTACCGAAAGCCCCAAGTTCCCCATTACAACACCCAAATCAGTTACTGGGGCTAGCTGGGAAGTTCTCCTTCAGAACACCAGGCACACTATTGGCACAGGGTAGGTGCTCAGTGTCTTCATCAGTAAACTGACTCCCTCCGCTCTTCACCACAGTCCTCCTTTTCCTTATGCTGTAGTCACCACACCCCATCAATTGCTTCTGCTACCTTGTGGTCATCTCCACAGAGGGCTGACACAGCCTCTCTTCTGCCCTCCTGCCTCAGTCTCCCCGCCAATCCGTGCCTCTTGAGTGTCACTGCAAAGTCCCACCAGGGCCTCAGCCTCACTCTCTCAGCTCAGCAAGCTCTTTCCTTGCTTGAGAATCACATCTTAAATACCAAAGTTACTGTGCTTGTTTTCTGGTGCCTTTTTACACACCTTTCTAAAATCATTTTTATGCCTGCTTCTCAACCCAGGTATCTGAGCCTGGGGGTTCTAGAATTAGAAGATGTATCTTCCCAGTCAGTCCTTTTTAGAGACAGGTCTAGAGGAAAATATCAGCATGGACTCAAAGGCAAGGTTGATCTATTTCACTGATGCTGCTAGTCTCTCTTAGTTCATTGAAAAGAAAGTTTTGTGCTGTTGTCTGTTTCTTCTTTGTAAGAGACTCTTTTTGTCTCTGAGTAACTACTTTGAAGATAATGATACACAGTGTACAGCAATTGCTATTCTCTTATTATTTTGTTATGAAACTTTTTTTTCATAAAATGAAAAATGGAAGGCAAAAAGAGCAAAGCTCACTGAAACACTTAGTATGAGGTTCTTGAGATCTCAAACAACTTTTGTGGGCCATTCCAGGTAAGGTGCCATAGTCTTCTCCCTATCCCAGTCTGGTATTTGAGAAAGCACTAGTAGAAAACTGAGATACCCGGCTACAAGGCATGAGGCAGTCAGCTGTTCCTCTCCAAAAATCAACAGCAGCTAACTCACTGTGTCAGTTTCATATCGGTGGTGAATTATCATCTCTGACAGTGGTTCCAAGTTTCACGGAGCCAGCTGGGAAAGAAGGGCCAATTAAACGCTTGACAGCTGCCTTCATTTATTCATTTATGTAATTCATTTCCAAAATGGCACCTACACGCACTTACATGAACTTCATAAAGCCACAAGGATTACTTTCCTGCTTAACAAGGTGAAGTCAAAAAAAAAGATGTTCAGTTTACTAATAGATTGTGTTCCTGTAATACAGATGTTCAATTTACTAATACAATGTCAAGCAGAAAACACGTTTATGTGAGAGCTTGCAAGTTTCACAGCGCACTGCTGAGCATTAATTAGTCACACACATTGTTGCAAAATAGATTGAAGCATTTTTTAATTTTTTTCAAAACTCACTTAAATTGCTAAGTATACCTAACAATAAAAGGGAAGCCCGATCAAATTTAACAATCAGAAATAAACCATCCTCAAAACCAACCAATACTTAGAAATGGAATCGGCTTTCTAAAAAGTAGCAGCTTTTGAACAAGGACGCAGGATCTAGAGGAGGCCGGAAGGAAAGATGGCGGCAAGGCCCAGGCAGAAGCTGTCCCCAGCTCGGCAAGGACAAATGACAGAGGGCACAGCTGCCAACATCCCGAAGCCAGCCCTCTCCCAGGGCTTGAAAATGGAAATCACAATATTGGTGCTTTTTTAAAAAGGATAAATACCTTCCAGAGGAGCAGGCTGCTGTTCTCCGCCACCCAAGGACTGGGGACGCTCGCAGCAGGATGGACAGTGACTAGAGCCATCAGCATAGCCTTGTGAAGAGCCAGCCTAGCTGTGCCAATTTAATTTCTCTCTCCGTCTGAGTGACAGGTGACATGGACCATAAAGATGTCAGTAATGGATTTTATCCCACGGCACTCTAAGATTCCCAAACAAGTTAAGACAGCGAGGTCCCTAAGCGAACTCCCAGTGGCCTGGATTCCTCCGGGATGCGGCAAGATCGACTGAATGCAGCTCTGCTCGGCTGAGTTCCTGACGGCATGAACAGTGCTGTCCTCAGCCCCAGCGGCTGATGAGTAAGCCTCCATCCTGGCCCCTGGGAGCTGGCAGCCTGCAGAGGAAGAGACAGCTAAGCAAGCTGCTCCAACACAGGGCAGGCACGATGGGTCTTGAAACTGACTGTCATGAAGACCCAGAAGGGAGGACGTCTCTGCTGAGGGGAATTGCAAACGTGTCCCCAGAGAGCTTCACCAGCCCTGTCTCACTGGGAAAGTTTTCATCAGGCAAAAGGACGGGCAAAGTACTGCAAGCCCTGAGCAGGACCCAGAGTTCTACACCACCAAGTCCTCATTCGGGCAATGCAAGCAGTCATGGCAGCCAGGCAAGGACTAAAGAAGGAAAAGGCAGCTACAAACACCAGCTTGTTGCTCACAAGCCCCTAAAGCGCCAGTGGAGAGCAAGATAGTGTGAAGCCTTTCAGATATGGGTCCTTGGTGTAGGGAACCGAATTCAGACTTCAAAGCCAGTCAGGCTCAAATTCCAGCTCCTGCTATTACTCACTGTGCAAACTCACGCCCTTCCAGACCCCGGTCCATACACCTGTTAAGTGCAAATCACCCACCCCCTCACCTGTGCCCGTGCAGACAGTTCACCGCACAGAACTGTTTTTCCTCAGTTACCGGAAGCTCTCCAGCAGCTTCTGGAAACATCCTCCGCCACCTGCTCCAACACACATTGCTCTGGGATTGCAAATAAATACGAAAAGCCTTTGTTATTTCCACTGCCCGTAAGACAACAGACGATGCTTTGTAATGTACCATCTCTCCCTTTGGATCTCCCTCTCCCGAGTACCAAGCACCTTTCTGCTCGCACTTGCACAGAAAACCTGCTGTCTGCCACCCTGCCTCCTCCCTCTGTGACAGACACACCTCACTCCGCATTTTCCTCTTAACTCTGGCTTCTCCCCCCATCGCCCTGGGGACACAGCATCCAATTAAGACGAGGACTCTAGCAGGCCCAGGACCGCCCAACAAGATTCTGAAGCCTGTTATCCCACCTACGATTTTTTAGCGCAACTAGTCTCTTTGATCTGAATCTTTTTTGAATTGATATATAGATGAAACAATCATTTTGGGAAAAAATAGCATGATTTTCCCATAGGACAGGTCAGAGAGACTCGGTTGTCATCTGTCACGCTGAATGGATGGGCCGTGACAGCCGGGAGCGCAGCATGAGGAAGGCCTTGGAGGCCACGGCCTCACTCAGCGAGGAGGAGTGCTGGGATGGGTAAGCAGCATCCCGCAGG